ATCGGCCTGGAGCTACGTAATAGCGCAGATATGTCAGCGTAGAGCAACTGTTGGCGATCGTACACGGTCGTCAGCAGAATGGAAGAGAAACACGGCTCGTAGCGCAATTTAAACGCGTCGCGATTCCAAGTATCGGCTGCTTGGCGTCCACGTGGAATCGCGAACGTACGACATAAGAGCGGAGGAGCAACGTACTCTTTGATCGTTAGAAGTGGGGATTGTGACAGATAATAATGGAAAGGAACAGGGTGAGAGAAGCTAATGTCTGATTAAACTTTGTTTCGTGAGATAGATCTGTAAGAGTGTTTAACCCTTTGCCACTCAATTCTTCTTCGTTTATGAGAGGAAAAATTAGGGTTGATTAGAAAGTTACATTTTGACGGCAGAAGCAAGAATTAGTAATTACATTTAACTCTTTATAGAATTAGGGTTATTCAACTTTATTCGATTTTGCTTCGTTCGTGAGAGAAAAACTTATTGCTGATTGGAATGTTACATTTTGACGGGAGGAGCAAGAATTAGTAATTACATTTAACTCTTTATAGAATTAGGGTTATTCAACTTTATTCGATTTTGCTTCGTTCGTGAGAGAAAAAATTATTGCTGATTGGAATGTTACATTTTGACGGGAGGAGCAAGAATTAGTAATTACGTTTAACTCTTTATAGAATTAGGGTTATTCAACTTTATTCGATTTTGCTTCGTTCGTGAGAGAAAAAATTATTGCTGATTGGAATGTTACATTTTGACGAGAGAAGCAAGAATTAGTAATCATTATATTTAATTTTTTATCAAATTAAGGTTATTCAACTCTGTTGTTCCATTTTGCTTCGTCCATGAGAATAAAGATTATGGTTAATTAATAATTGTTACATTTAACTGTTTATAAAATTAAGTTTATTCAACTCTGCTCGATTGTGCTTCGTGCATGAGAAGAAAGATCATGGTTGATTAAAATGTTACATTTTGACTGGAGGAGCAAGAATTAGCGATTTTCATAAAGAGAAATTAGCTGATAATAATGTAAGAGTGTAGCAACGAAGCAAATTCTATAAGAATTGTGTGAAAATGCAGACTTCGTCTCGTTTGCCGCTTGTACGTCTTTGTAACGATATCAGAGAGAGGAAACGAGGAGGAGCGTAGCTGGTTCGAGAACCGGGGGATTAATATCGAGTGTACCCTATAGTTTTTGAGCAAATATGCAAGATCCGTGTTCGCACAGGGGAATAGTGACAAAGATAATATTTGTTGAGATTTACACGCGTGCCGTACCAACGTTATTTTCGTATCCGTAATACCGGCGTGTCTTCCGTGATCGAGCACACACGATGGAAGCGCGTGCACGCGTGTTATATACCTACGCACAGTATGAAAATGTTGGAACACGGTAAGCGACAATGAAAATAAATCGAACGATTGTTCCGTCAATTCCACCGGACCAATTTGCATCAGATAGATGCGACAGAAACGTGAACCCGGCGCTTTTCCCCTTCCCCCATGTAAATTTCACGCGCTCGTTTTTCTTTTTCCTCGAACGTTTTTCGGAAATATTTCGACAGGCGTAAATGTTATAAATATTCTCTACGTGAAAAATTTGACGAGTAAAATTCCGTGCAAAACAATTTTGTCGAAATAAAAACGAAATGAAAAAAAAGAAGAAAAAAACATTAAAAATCACAAGTATCCAGGATGTTTTCATCCTGTATATATTCTATGAAGATGATACATCCTTCAGGCGTGTAGTCTAGCGAACAACAAATTGGATTTGCCGTCGTACAGTGGACGGCACCGATAAAGGTCGCGGGGTTGTGAAGGACCGAGCAATTCGGCTGTTTGTTCTTTTAGCAGAATAGCTCCACTTGTTTCCCGCCCACTTGTATCATATTTTTCACATAAACATCGCGCTTTATGCTCGAACATGCGATATGCTAATCATCTAAGCTATGCTAGAGTTACGTCAGAGAGCGGTCGCTGTAGAACACGAAAATAGAATCCTGGTCGCGGTGAACTTGATCGATCGATCGACGATCTAATCAACTTCCTAATATTCATACTTCTCACGAGAGCTTGCAACCAAAAGAAAACAAAAAGATCTTGCAGCTTCTGAGAAGATTTTCATCGTTTCATTGAGAATCGGAATTTCAGCAAGGTCGAATTGCAGAGTTACCACGGGACGACCTAAAATCTCACGAGCTCACGTTCCGACTGGATCCACCAGTAAATCAAGCTGCGTCTACGACCTAGAGCAACGAACGTGGACCAGTCAACCTTCGTTCAGTTTGTTAAAATGCACAGGCACACTCCTGGTCGTTGTGTCGTGGGATCGGTGAATGGATTTTCTGTCCTGTCCTAAGGGGGATGATGAATCGCGCGCGTACCAGCCCCCTTGTCTTTTCGTCGAACACGAGGGCGTTCTCAGGACGAAACCGGGCTGTTCGGCGGGGGTGTAACTCTGTGATGGAAAAAGCGGCGGCCAGAGAGTAGGATGGTACACGCGTTGGACGGATGAAAATGTAGGTGAGCCCGAATGTTAAGCCGTGGCGGAGTTGCAGGCTCGCGCACACCCTCGAAAATGCATTGAGACGGTCACGAACGACAACGAAACGGCCTGATTCACAGTGCGTCCGCGCGTAATTCACAATGGCCTATCTACGTGTGCAACAGTGATCATTTCCACGATGGTAATTCATGGCCTGATCCAGTATCCCGCGGTCGGACACGCTCACCAATGGAACCGAATCGATTTGCTCGACCGTTCAAAAGAACGAGGGAATTCGTTAATTTCGATGGCAGCGCTAGGTCGATGGTCCCATTCAGGTGTCACGATTCCAGTTTTCGAAGAAGATCTTGATTCTTGATTATTCCTTCGACACATTTCAGGGACGTTTATTATGATGGACATGATCGGTGAAAGAATTGGAGGTTTTGAAAGGAACTGGTGGTAGGAAGATGTGAATTCTCGAGAGATTTCGTTGTTTCTGATAAGTATGTTGCATTTGAAAACATCGAGAGAATGTTTGGATAATTTCTAAATATCAATTTGTGGAAATTTTTGCACCGTAGTGGAAATTTCCTCTGGTGCTTCGTTTCGACGAGGGAACGAGTGTTTTGACGTTAGTTTGTTTAAAAATAACACGTTTTACGAAACGCGGAAGAGCATGCAAAGGTGTTTCTCGCCTTTTGTTTCTGCAACAATGCCGTTTGCAAATCGGACAAGTAACCACGTCAGATTTCAATCACGTCGTTCCTCTTCCTCATTGGTATACAACATGTTCGACGAACGAGAGCAATTCGAGCGAATTTTCCAAGTGTTCGACGAGATTAGGAAGAAGATCCGTTAATTGAACGTCGGATTCGAGCAGCGCCGGGCAGAAATTGGATCACATTCCTCCATCGCTCTGCTGATCACTCGTAGATATCGATCATATTCGTAATGGTATATAATAACGAGCGTTGTATAAACGAAATCAAGAAAAATCTCGAATAAAGTTCTATCGTTAAAAAGAAACAGACAGGCAAACACTTTTGTTTCGTAGAATTCGAAAGTTCTAATCCCGTGAAACTAAATATTTATAATTCGATGACCCCGAGTGACACGTTTTCACCGCTTTTTCCCAACATCTGGATAATCCTGGTCAAGTTAAGGTGCAACCACGGTCGCACGTGGGTTCGCAAACGAACCACCCTCTCTGTCTTTCTCTATTCCGAACCGTTATATCGCGTCTTAGCTTAGGAAAGGTGCGAGAACGACGTGAGAGAGAGAGAGAGAGGGAAAGAAAGAGAAACGATGGGAAGAAGAAACACATGTTTCGTATTAGATCTTTTCTACCTGTTGACCCGAACCAGGACGTATAGAAAGTGTTTAACGAAGAATACCATGGTGTGGAGGCAGAGTAGAGAGGAACACGTGTTCCTTAGCTAAGGTACTGGAGGACATTGTGTCCACGGGAGGCGTCTAGACAACGGCAGGTTCTTCCTTCCTTCCGGAACATATTGGCAACACATGTTTCCTATTTCAGAATGCACTTTGCTCCTTGTGACAAAAAGGTGCATAGCAAGGTGGTTATACAGCCTAGTCGTAAAAGGCAGGTCCAACCTGTCCTTCCTCACGTTTTTGCTACCGACGAATTTGCACACGTGACGATGTTGCCCCGCGAGAATTTCGGAAACGTGACGAAACCGTCGCTGATCGTTTTCCAGAATCTCTCCCTGGGGAGACTTCGTCAAATTTCAATTCTTCCACCGAAACAATTCGTTTTCTGATTACATTCGAAAAAATGATTCCGTAAATCCTGTCGTGTAATCGAAACAATCGCTTCAACGATTACACGTCGAAGGTGTTCGAAGGAGAGTCTCTAGAATTCTGAGGATTCGAGGGTATTATTACCATCGGTGATTCCACGATAAACGAAGGGAGAGAAGAGAACGATCGAACGAGGGAAGTTATAGGTGTCCTATGGTGTCTCGTCAAGGGAACAGTGCGGCCACCAGCAATCGCCTTTGCTTTCGATTTTGCCACCCGTCGTCCCGGTGTATACGACCGTCCGGCACGGCTGTCATTCGAATCACTTGGGCTTTCCCCGGCAACCTTCGTTACGACTACGGCAACCTCTGCTCTCTTCCCGTCTCCTTCTTCCACGAGCTTTCTCCTTCCTCCTCTCTCTCTTTCTCTCCCTCGAAGGTAGCCTATTCTCGTCTTCCTTTATCACCCCGTTGCTGTTCTGCCTCTGTCTCTGTTCCGTCACAGGAACCCAGACAGAGAAGTTTTCACGTGCGTGTACTACAGAGGGGTCTTTCGACTGACCCTGCTCCTAAGGGTGGAGCTTAAAATAAGGGTGGTACCTCACGGCTTACCTACCCCATCGAGAAACAGCATTGGGGATGAGATGGGAAGCGAAGGAATAGCAGTAGGAGGAGAGACACGCCGACGGAGAGAAAGAGAGAAGGACCAATACACGACACGAGGTGGTCTCTCTACAACACCGAATTGTGAACGAGAGTCCGTACGGCGTGCACTAGTCGTAATTTCAGTGCAACAGACGTCGGTCGTGGTGCGTGCTTCAAGTTTCACCTCGGTGTTGTCAGACTCGTGACAGGAATCGAAATTTCCAGATCAGTCGACGACACTCTTTTTTTTTTTCTTTTTTTTCTGTCTCGCGCCGGAAGTTCCACGAGCTTTTGCTACTGGTCCAGAGGAAGCTGTATGCGTGGATGTGTGCGTGCGTGTGGGTGTGTGTGTGTGTGTGTAGGAGATTTGAAAGAAAGTGTTTGGAAGGAGAGAAATCCTCGTGGAAACTTTTCACGCTGTCCACATTGGGAACACGTGGTCAACGCGATGTTGTGAACGGCAGCACGCGGTGTCTTCGAGGTGTACCAAGTGTCACGAGCGAATTTCTATGATAGTAACTGAACGCCGGTTCGATCGACTCCGTGAGCGTACAACGTGGAGATAGAAGATGGCGCCCACCGTCGAGAGCCATGGTCGACGTATTATTTTAGAGAGCGATCCTTATATCGGTAGTTGGAGGCGGAAACAGGCGCAGAAAGGTAGAGAAGTTTCTTTCGATACGTGTCTGTTGAAAAGTTTTTCGCTGCGACGTTTCTTTTGTAATTGTTATTTAACAGAGTTTCGCGTGTTGCGAGTAAAGTGTTACATGTGTGACACTCAACTTTTAACTTTCAAATTTTTAGATTTGTTTTCTAGTTAAGATATTATAGGTACAGGGAAATTCTATTTGTTCGGAATTAGACTTGCACCCTCTTTGAATCGATTCGTTCCGCAATCACGAGGAGGAAGAAAGGTTTCACGCAGGAGTTCTTTATACGGGTACACAGAGAACAAGTGATTCTTTTTAAACGCACATTCCAAGAATACAGGAATAGGTAGAACCGAGCTATTTCTACGGTGTTATGCGTGTTAAATCTTCAGCGGTACTTCTAGGTACCGCGTCCATATACCACGAGTCTCGGTGTAGTCACCCCGCCTTCTATATTTTCCATTCTTCCTGCCCCGACACTCTTCACTTTTTACGAGTGAAGCTAATTAAACCGAAGAATTTCACGATCCTTCGACGCCTATTGTCACTTCAATATTTCCGATTCGTTCGTAACGTCCACCACTAAACGTTTCGTCGTTCGAAGTCGTTTTACCCTCTCGTAAGTTTTCTTTCTTGGGTAAGAGAAACAAGATCGGTACGTCTACTCGTAGATTTTCAACAATTCAGGTACGTGAGGGGAAGATGTTGCGACCGCGCGAGTCGCGGAATTGGTGACTGAAACGACGGGGCAGGAAAAAAATGCATTATTCAAGCGAATTTCCATCCGTGAGAAGTCTCGGTAGATGGGTAGCTACGTCGTTAGATTGCTCTCTTGCCGGCGTTTTAATGACGGTTTGCTCCCTTTGCTTTCAGTTCTTGTAACGAGCAGCTTCGGCGTCGTTATGGCTTTCGCGCTGTATCATTCCCCGACGACGTCGATCGCCATATTAGCGACGTTACTCCCGTGAATTTATTCCGTCGACGTCGTCCATATTATTACACCCGCGAATTGTTCATTCTTTCTCCCTCTGTTACGGAGTACAAAAATAGTCATTTAACAAAACGTTCCTTCGTTCTTCTTTGTTACGCGACATAAAAACTTCTGCTTTTATACCTATCTCCTATCGCATATTAAGCTTCCTAATCTTTTCTCTGTTGACTTTCTCTTTTACAGACAACAGTTCTTCTTCAGATACCATGGACCTAAGATCACACAATCACTATGATATAAGTCACGTGAAAGGTAATTCGATCGCTAGCACGTCCGGCCCGCAGGAAGGCGTAACGAAAGAGAAAAGCAAGAAAGCAGCGCGTATACGCCGCGACAGGGAGAATCAAGAGTTTTCGGAGCTCGCCAAGCTGTTGCCCGTGCCGGACGCTCTCACTCCGCAAATGGACAAGGCCAGCGTGATTCGGTTGACCACCAGTTACTTGAAGCTACGAGCACTGTTTCCATACGGTACTAAATTAATTATCTCGTAATAAGAAAACTTCGTTTCGAGAAAAATTCACGAACGCGTGAAAATATGCGTACACAGCTGGCAGAAGTTTGAAATCACGTTCCTAAGTGTTCCGGGTATTCTAGAATTTCATTTAACCCTTTCGCTGTTTACAGAGAGAAACAGCGATTACTTTCAACGCTCGCCTAAATCTCGATATTTTATTTGTGAAGTGTGAAAATAAATTAATAAATTGTATTATTGCATCGGTTCTTAGTAAATTAGAGTCCACTTTCACGGAACGCGTATATTTGCCTTTCGCAGCGAATGGGTTAAACCAACTTCAAATTTTTCTCAATCCAGTTTCGTAGGTTTCAAAATATCTAAAAATTTATCGACGAATTCTTCAATCTTCGACAGCTAACGATCAATAATATTCCCAATCTTTATCGGTATTGACTGTATTACCGATCTTGTGCAGACCGCTTTGCACAGTGATTTCATATTTTTGGCTAGCGATGTGTGTTTAATAGAAGAACAAACTTTTACTGCTTGATTAAATGGACAGTTCGTCGAGGGGGTTAGACACAGTGACACTTAGCAACCCTCTGGAAAATAGTCGAAAAAAGAAAAGGAGAAAGAAAACAGATCGATTGGTATTCCTTTATTTCCGGGCGACTGGTTACGCGCGACGATACCACGTGCCCGGGTAATAAGCTTCACTTAGCGGTAAACGGATTGAAACGGTATTCTTTGTTAATTCAGCCACCGGACACTTACGCGCAAAGGGCAAATAGTATCGGATGAGATGGATGTGATTGCGCACTTAATGCATTGTTAGTCCCCGGTGCTTTGTAAGCAAAGCATGGGGGCTGTTATAGTGTTACAATGGCTTCCCCCGTCTCGCCCCCGCCCCTCGCGCGTTCTTACGACATCGGTGAATTGAATTTCAAGTGGCTGCATCCCTCTAGAATACGGTCGCGTCTTTATTCTTTGGAAAAAAAAAAAAGGAAGAAAAAAATGAAAGGAAAGGGAGGATGGAAAAAAAGACACGTTGCCCACTCTGCGACACTTCAGGGGCGTTCCTTTTCGTTCGCGGTGGAAAATTAGCTGTGGTGAACAGGTAAACGAGCGTGAAATCCTTTTCGGTGAAATGAAAGCAACGACAGCGTTAAGGTGGTAAATTGAACGAGAGTTAAAGTTTAATTAAACGTCGTCGATAATTATTACGTAAAAATGATTACGTCTAACAAGCGAACGAGATACGTCGACAAACGTGTTGGTGATCTGGTGAAATTTAGCGGAACACCGGTGAGATGGCAATGATCAAGCCATTTTCCGCGATATTCCACATGGGGCTGGTGAAAACGCCCCTGCAACTGCAACCGTGGCTGCACGGGCGCGAATGTATTGTAATTAATGCGCAGACACGAAATACTTGGCTATAGGCTTAGTTACACGTCGAGTATGAAACGTTGCTAGAAACATGTATATCGGATCATCGGGATAAGAACGGCAAGGTGTTACAGTGTGTGCTGTGTCTCCTTAGACGAGACGTCTTTCTCTCGTGATTGCTAAATTGTTACGCTTAAAAGTGACCACTGTTTACCTACAATCGAGACTAATTTCCGTACAACGAACGCGAAACAATTGTTTGAAATACAATGGAGAAAGTTTAGATAAGAATTTTTCGAGTCGAAGCAAACGTGAATTTTTCTCGATACCGAATCGGAGAAGAAAAATCTCGCATTTTTACTGGTCGCACTCCCGGAAGATTGGTCCAGCCGAAAGTCTGACTGTGTGGCGAAATCATTTTTCAGGGCTCGGTGAAGAATGGGGTGCTTCCCAGCCAGGCAGCATCTCCCTGCAAATCGCCTTCAAGGAGGTGACTAGTTATATTTTGCAAGTAAGCACTCATCGTTCTCTGTGTCGCGCCCTATAAATCGATGTAACGTCTTGCACACGTTTTTATAGAAACAACGTTCAGCTATCTAAGCCTTGGTTTTCATTTCCTTCTGAAAAGCTTTCCGTTTTGTTTCGAACTTCGACGAGAGTAAGGCGCGACCAGAAGTTGAAAACTGTATTATTCAACAAAAGAAAAGAAAAAATTGATAAAAAGGAAAGGAAAAAGATCACGGTGTAAATGAGAAGGTCCTCCGAACTTCTAACGACCACGATACTCTTTTCTTTTTTTCTCTTTTTTCACATTCGCAACTTTAGAGTCATTTTTTTATCGAGAACTCTCTGTTCGTTCCAGGCGTTGGACGGTTTCCTCTTTGTCCTGGCGCCCGACGGCAAGATCATGTACATAAGCGAAACTGCCAGCGTGCATTTGGGAATGGCCCAGGTGAGACAATCACCTTTCCAATTTACTCGATTGTTCAACAGAAAATTTCGAAGCGTTCGCCCGATAAACGATGGCGATGAATGTTATTTGGTGCAGGTGGAGCTAACGGGGAATAGTATTTACGATTACATCTACGAACAGGATCAGGCCGAGATGATGTCTGTGTTGAACCTGCCGCACAGTCCAGCAGATACGGCGAACATCATCTTTCCACGGGCAAATTCTCGCGGTGAAATCGCACTGGAGCGTATTTTCATTCTGAGAATGAAGTGCAACTTGGCGAAGAGATGCGCCGGACTAGTCACAGACGGATACAAGGTAACGCGTTAAAATTCACCATATTCTTCAACCTAATCGCGGAAAATACGCGGAGCAATTTTCTCGAGAAATTTTTGTAAATAACGCGAACGTTCACGGTTCTCTACTAAGGAGAAATACGTGGCGATTACGGGTTTATTGGCTTCCGTAAATCGCGCAATATTCGCGGCAAACAAGCCGGCGAGAGAAGACGCCGGGGACGATCGACGATTAGCATAACGGCCGGGCTGCTTGCACAGGAAATCATAAAACGAATAAAAATTCAAATGCTAAATAAGAGATAAGAAGTGGCGAGCTAAGTAGGGACGGTATTGTCCTGGTCACGCGCGAGTCGAAAAGAAAACGGCCACCAGGTAGAATGCGTACCAGGTGAAATTCGCTCGGCCGCATCCGTTCTTCCGTGCAATAAAAACACTCGGTCCACGTGAGCTCGTGCCTCACATCCGGAATAATCGAAATTCACGGGAATCCGTTCGGTTTCCTTTTTTCTTCCATCCACTCGAACCTACCTACGCTTTTTCCAATCCTTTCTCTATCTTTCGTTTCAACGAAAATTCGAAATTTCTTTCGTTAATCATTTCTCTCTCTCTCTCTCTCCCTTCTTTCATCCTCACTTTCTTACCAACATTACCATAGATCGTTCGAACGATCAATTACGCTAAATTGAATATCTTATACCTACTTTCCGAGGCTAGGATCCGTGGCCCGGAGGCACGAGGCGCATCGTTATTCACGGATTATCCAAATTACTTTCCATCGATCCGATTAAAGCAGGGTCACCCTGTACAGTCCGGTTTCCGTCGACAACTGCTCGTCTCTCAATTTACGATCGTTAATACACGTATACGAACGATTCCGGGAAAATCAGGAAAAGTCACCCTAATATTATCACGGTGATCCTTGTCGATTTTGGTTAACGCCAAATGTCCCGACATATGGTTCCGTAGGGTAATAACGATCGTTCTACTTATCGTAAAGGGTAAACGCGAGCAGGCATAGGGAAAAAGGGACCTGCGAACACTTTGCACTTGCCTTCAGCAAAAGGAGACAGCCCTCGAGAAGGAAAATGTTTGGCAAATAGCTCGTTCAAGCCCGCAGCGCTATGATGACCGTGGCTCTCGACGAAATCGCACACAGAAAAGACCCCAATAGGCGTTGAGCAAAGTCATGAATGCAACCCCTGTGAGCTGTTAGTAGACGAGCCTCGAGGGGGGTTGCGGAGGAAGAAGCTTGCTTTTTGTATGGCACTTAGACGCACAAAGACCAAACCGTAGTTGGCTTGACTTTGTGGAGGTGCGAGCACGCGTTTTGCTGGGATTTACACGGGTCCATGCCACGCACAGTGAATCGGATCGGCGTTCTCGTGGACGATCCGTTGAGAATGGGACTCGAGATGTTCGAGACCCACGAAGAAAAGGGAAAAAGGATACTTTCAAAAGTTGATCGATTAAAACTTAGTAATTTACCTTTTTCAACAGGTACTTTACACCACGTGAAAAAGATAAGAGAGAAAGAGAGAGAAATTGAATCTCTGCACTTGCATTTACATTTACCATGAACGATAAGAAATACATTTAATTGGTGCAAAGTACACTACATCAGGGAAGAATATAACCTGGGAATTAGTTGATCGTTGAAGCACACTACACATGCAAAAATTGGATGGTTCGAGCTGGTTTCCAGTGGAGGAAAGCTCAAGCGTATCCGCGTGCTCGTCACCGAATTATGTACATATTTCCTTTCCGTCGGTTTCGCGGCACCCTCGTGTTCCTGTCCTCGCACGCCCAATACCGCGCTGATGCACCGGCGGAATTGCATATATGAGTTGAAACGAGTATGCAACGCGGGCATACGGAACAAGCCTATTTGCTTTACAAATTCGCGGTGCACTCGAGACGCAGGCGACGCTGAACGAGGCTTTTTTTCCATTTCATCGGCCATTTAATTAAGCAGGAATTGTTAATTTGCTTGTGAGTGCGGCGTCGTTCCACGCGAAAATCCGCACTTCAACCCTTAGGGAACTACCGCTCGAGTGTAGCACTTACGACCCATTTCGAGCGGGTCGAATAACATTAAGAATAATCACGTGCACATATGTAACTAACAATAAGTCCCCTGTGTCGAGTGGGTCTTTCTTAATTACGACCTTTCGTTTCTGTACCTTTAAACTGTCTCCCTTTGATCAACTTCTATCTCGTGAGGTTAATTTCGAAGGAGTTCTTTCGAATCGTTGTGTAAAAGTTTCTGTATCCGTTCTACGTAAAATCTAAGGAAAGTTTAGGAAACGTGTATCGTTAAATTGCCTCTGTAAAGATGAATCGATTACACGTGTTACAGGTGATACACTGCACCGGTTATCTAAGATGCATCGTGGAAGGACCAGTGGAATCTGAGAACAAGGACGGTTGCCTTGGCTTCAGGAATGTCGGGCTAATGGCCGTTGGCAGTTCTTTGCCGGGACGTTGCCTGACGGAGGTGAAATTGTATCAGAACATGTTCATGTTCCGCGCGTCGTTGGACTTTAAGCTGATCTTCGTCGACGCGAAGTAAGAAAAAGTATCATCGATAACTGTACAAATATCCCTACCTACCGTTCTCTCCTTAAAACCACGGTGATTCACGTTTATTTGCCTGTTGTCTCAATCGAATTCGAGGAGAGCGAGCGATTCGAGAGGGAGGGAAAATAATGGAAGGGGACGCGAAAGTCGACGAAACAACGAACCAGATTATTTCTGTCGCTGCAATTACGACGCGGTGTTAAGTTGCGTCGTCGATATATTTCGACGCCAGGAGGAGAGAGAGAAGGGTCCAGGTTCGACGGCCATTAAAATCAGTTTCGTGTTACCCACCACAGACCACGCTAGACATTTTTTCCTTCTACCGACTGCTCTTTTTTTCTTTTTTCTCGTGTGTGTTTCGTCTCTCTCTCTCTCTCTCTCTCTCCTCCCTTTTCTCTCTTTTTTTTATTCGCGTCAAATAAATATTCCGCGTGGACAGGGCTGTATCATGCACGTACACGCTGGGAAATGAACACGTGGCGAGGAGTATAAATACACGGGGAAGGGCGATGGAACGCGGGATGAAATTTTATATCTCTCGTCCCGGAAAATCGATTTCCCTGGATGACGACGGTTATGTAAATCTTGAATTCGACGGCAGATTCGAGCGAAAATAAATACACACGTCCGTTTATCGGGAGAAAAAAAGAAGGAATTCGTTTTGGTTGGTATAATTATAGCGTTTCCCGGTTTTTCTGTTTCGTGCTGTTGCAGCGTGTCGCAATTGACCGGATACGATCCGCCGGATCTGATCGAGAAGACGTTGTACCATTACGTCCACGGATGCGACATGATGCGGCTGAGATACGCTCACCGAATGTGTAAGTATTTTCGAGCAATTGTTGCTACTTTAAAAATGTTACGTCTGTAAATTGGAAATGAACGGCGATTTGTTCGCGAGCGGCGCCATATTGGTGCCAAGGTATCCAACTTTCCCTCAGCACTCTCGTATAATTTTGTCGACTTCTTTCCAAGCTTTCAATTACCGACAATATTATCTTCTACATTTCTAAATTTTACAAGTTTCTACAATTTTCGATACATTTCTATTGGAAAGATCTATCGCGAATAAAAGTGCCGCATCTCGAAACCTTATCGACACACAATAGAAACAGAATAAACGATCGTTTCTGCGTACAGAAATCTCCCCGAAAAATTAAACAGACGTATTAGGAAGAACGTGAACCAGCCAATAAGCGCTGTTCGTTCGAAATAGGCCTTATTTCCCCTGGCGCGTGTAACTTCGAAAGCGGTCTCAGAGGCGTCGACGTGGTATCAAAGTGCTCGAAGAAGAGACTCTCGCAAGGCCAAAAGCAGCTGACGCTGCTTAACTCGGCGACGCCCTCGCTGGCGAAATATCCTTTGATCTTTCCTTTTCTCTCATCCTCCGCGGGTCGACTTTTGAGACGAAGCAGCCGGTATAACAGCATTTCCCTTTTCTCTCCTCTTTTATTTTGCCCTCCACCGCCTCCTCTCACCTTCGCCGCGCACGCCAGCACGTTAAAGCCTAAGTATATGCACACGTAGTACATACAGGGTGTACATTATTGATTGAACAATGCTGCTATGGCGCTATGAGCAGAGTAGAAAAGAGAGGCTCTGCTCTACGCGCGCGCGCGCGCACTTCTCTATGTGTACGTACATATGTACGTGTGCCTCTGTCCCGTCCGTGCGTGTGCGTGAACGTGAACGTGTGAGGGTGGACGAGAAGGTAGGGAGACGAAGGGGGAGCAAAGGGGTGGTAGAAGAGGGCAAGAGAGGAGGAGGCTGTTACTGCTATCACTGTTTGAACAGACTCGCAGTTTCACGAGCGCAACTCGAAGGGAGCCTGACATAATGCCACTAATGTCTGCGCCTGCGGATTGTACGATCGACGTTGTTACGCTCGCGAAATTTCCTTTCGCCGCTGTAGTGAACCTTTTTTCACTCCCTCTATGCGGAATCGAGTTTTATTGCTCGTAGATAGGTACACGAAATTAATTGTAGATGGACACAGACCGATTCGCGATGTCATTTCGTTCCCCTTTCTTTCTGTTCGCAGTGCTGATCAAGGGACAAGTGATAACACAGTACTACAGGTTTCTAACGAAAACAGGAGGATGGGTGTGGATGCAGTCGCACGTCACGATCGTGCACAACTCCCGAAGTTCCCGGCCGCAGTGCATCGTGTCGGTGAACTACGTGTTGACGAAACCGGAGAACACGGACCTGCTGTTGAACTGCGAGCAAAAGTCCTACTGCTCGAACCCGAGCAATCCTCCCAGCACACCTCTGTCGACGCCGACAACCAGCGGAAGCGGCAACGAGCTGGACAATCACAGTCCGAGTTCACCGGCGTATCGAGGCAGATCGAAGGAATCGCCTGATAACGATTACGCGAACGGAGCAGCGTATCCCAGGCCTGAATACGTCGATCTGACCAATCACAATCATTATCTGTCGCCACCTTATCAGCCGCAAAACGTCAGCAACAGCTCTCACGAGGACAATTCGAATTACAATCCCGATTGGTTCTTCCCCTACGGAGGTAAGGATGCTTCGAACGTGGAAAGGTTGCGATAATCTCACAACGTGTTTCGATCACACCTCGATCAGATTGAAAGACAGAAACTTTTGCTTCCAGAGATACATCAAGATCCCCTGGCTACGGTACCGCAGCAACAAGAAGCTCAGCATCCACATCCGCTGCATTACGCTAGTTCTCCCTCGAACCTCCAGCAACACAGTCCTCAGAACGCTCAACAGAAGCACCAGCATTCTCCTCACTTGCTCGACCATCCAACACCGCCAGCGAGTCTACCACAACCGCAACCACAGCCACAACCACAGCCGCAACCACAGCCGCAGCCACAACCTCAGCAACAACAGCACAGCCCGCCGAGTAGCCAACAGAACAGACCTTACTCGACGTCGTCGAGCTCCTGTTGCAGCACAGACGCGATGGATAATCATCTACCGAGCCCTCTGAGTCTCTACCCTCTGTCACACGGTTATTATTCTTACTATCAACACTACATGCCCGACTCTGCGTCGTCCAACTTGAACGAAGCTGGCGGCGTGATAATGTATCCTAACTGCGGTTTGAACAACGAAAATCACAACGCTACACCGAGTACCAGCGATTCGAGCAACGTTCAACATTACGAGTCGCTTTATCAACCACACTCGAATCATTACAACACCAACAACAATCCAGCGAAGCATTCTCATCATCATTTGGAATCGTCGTCGGCTGGTTACACCAGTGTGATCGTCGATTCGCAGCAATACAGCCCGAGCTCGGTGCAGGATCTGATTCACTATCATCATCATCACGAAGCACACCATCAATTCGTTCACTGACACCAGCTCGACGTGCCTTGCGCATAGCGCGTGAATCGTGACCACCAGTCGTGCCATTGTGATACGTCAACCGTGACAGATCATCGTCGTCCAGTGAATAACGAGTCGAATCGTGGAGAGGACAGCTCGAGGAACGTGGCGGACGGTAAACAGGAACAGGTTTATCAGGTGAGCGCTAGCTTCAGGACTTGCGACAGCGAGAAAGCTGGAAGATCGTTTCGAGAGGCGATGGGTGCAGTGAGAAATCGTGAACTCGAGAACAAGAACGTCGAGTGAGTTTCGTCTTTCTTTTTTTTTTTTTTCGTGCGAACAATTGAATAGGTATGAGTGTTTTGATACGAGCAGGAGTCGGTGGAATCGGTATCAGCGAGGTTGTGAAGTCTGTCGAGCGTTGAAGTAGACGTGAACCGAGCGTTGGGACGGTAATTAGAGGGAGACGAGTGGTTCGATGTCAACTTTGACCGATTGGAAAATTTCTCTGCGCCTTGATCGTCAACGGATGTCGGTTAATTTCGACTATTTACCTGAAGGCGAGTGAAACGAAAGATTGTACGCGGAAATGTTCAATATCGTTTCGTAAATAATGATTTACATCGCGATCTCGCTAAATCGGTTTCAGCAACTTTACCTGCCGCTGAAATTTTCGTATGAACTCTGCAATGAATAGATGTGCACGGTGGATGTACGTAAGGAAAAATGGTAATCGTTTAAGAGTCTATGACGAAGGTTTACCGTATTGTATTCTAAGAATGATCGATCGACGATCTATTCTGACAATTTGTCGATCCGTTGTTATTGGATCTGTTACTGGGTATACTTTATTCACATATCAAGGTACTTAACTTTCGCGTTTCAAAAGCGTAGGGATCTCACGTGTAATTACGTTGATTGCATCAGGATTAACGATAAGTTATTAAGGCTTCGAGTATGCTCGTGAGTAAATTGATTTCCGCGTGTCGCGATCGGTAACGCAGTTCACGAAAATGCGATTTTCGTTTGTCTGTAAGAATGCCTGTCCGATATATCCTTAAGCGTCCGTTTATTTATATTCGCGTCCTCTTTATTTGTTCTTTTTTAATTACTTCATCGCTAATGATATTCATTAGACGTGCGTGAGTCGTGTGAGGGAGAATAATTAACGTTAGCTGTGTCGTCACGTAGGGTAACTATTTCGATTTCGTGTATTTAACCAAGATTCTTATTCGAACGATAACGACGGCTTGTTAATTGCAACGAATCCACGTGGGTCGATCGAACGTGGACGGAACAGTCGAGAGTTCGAATAGGCGGTTCGAGCGTATCTTCGAATCCAGCCGAATTCGAGGAGAAATTAAAAAGAAGGAAAAAAAAGTCAAATTCGAGATTCAAGCGTCAATAAAAGGAGGAGAAAGAATTTCTGCGTAATACACGCTGGACGTGAGCAGGTGAAATTCTTCGGAAGCTAGAAAAGGCAACGAGAAGGAAACGTCTCTGTCGACATTACGATTTTATACGATTTAATTATAAACGAACTGTTCTGTAAAAGTAACGAGAGCACCGACTCGTCGAAAAGTCGAACGGTTACAACCGCAGTTTCTGTACATAAAGAAAAGTGGAGAGAAGGAAGGAAAGAGCGGGCGTAATCGGATTATTTTGAACAACTCCCGAATGGCTAACGCTGGATGATACTTAATTTGTAGACATTGTACATTACGTAGTTGTTCGTAGCTCTTAAGACTTATTATATACAAATACACTTGATATTTCTTAGGTAGATCCGAAGACTGACCGGTGCTTGTACCAACCGACCAAAGAAACACACACACACAAACACGCCCTTTCTCACGAGAAGAGAAAAGAAGAAATGAAAAGAAGTTGTTGTATCTCTTAATCCCGCGTTTATTTAAAGACCACGCGCACCTCGAATTCCAGTACTTAATAAATACAAGACGATAGAGTAATTCCTGCCGAATAGTACCAGTTACACACACCTTTAACACCATCGAAGTATTTTATTAACGGGAACTTGGTAATTATAGTGACATTGAAATAGTTCCTCGAGGATGTCTATCAACGCCACGAGGCTAATCTCTGACATGTATAAAACACGTGTACTCACTTACACAATTTTGCCAGACGGAACGTTATTATTTATAATCGATGTAAATTTAAACGAAGATTTACGATTGATAATCCGGGGCGATGATCACCGCGTTGTACGATACGATTACTATTGTAAGCGTTGTAAATATTGTAAAACTGATAACGCGCGCGCTGCATACCTATTGCGAGAAAAATATAATCGATATTTTCCTCTGACGATCTATCTTATTCAAATTCTCTCTCTCTCTCTCTATTTCTTTGTTTCAAACAGAAATATCCTCCTTTTTCCAACGATACGACACAAAAAGTCAATGAAATTTGTTCTCTCACAATCACGATTGGAATTGTATTTGCAAATCACGAAACGAGAAAATAAACCAGTTGAACCGAACCAATTTTTTCTTGAAGAAGATTATCGATCGATGACATTGAAAATTATCGTACAATTTTTTCCTTCGCCTTTTGTTCTTTTTTATTCAGAGTTTATTCAAATGTATAGCGTACGGCGATTTAACTGTTTCCGATGGAAGAGATACCTGCGCGAAAACTATTCGACCATTCTGTCGCCAATTTCACAGGTGGCGAGGTCTTTTCATTGCGGGGATTTCCCATTACCCTCGATCTCTGTTTTCTCGCAGGTACCGGTGGAAGGCGGATTATGTTACCCAGAGTGTAGCACACTTTCTCACCCCTCTGAATAATAGAGATTAAATGGAAACATGTAGGATATATAATCTCACATCTACGTTGAACCACTTAATTCACAAAATTAGAAAAATTAACTTCAAACGTCTGAGAGATGAATTTTAACGAATGATCAATTTCACGTTAAAAATGATATAAATCGGAAAATGGAAGATATAATTGTGATAAGATGAAGAATAAAAAATTAACGATACCACAAATTAAAAAAATTAACTTCTGCTGTCCGAGAGATTAATGATCAATTTCAAGTTGAAAGTGACAAAAATCGAATAATGAAGAATATAAAAGTTGCATTCGTTGTGATAAGATAAAAAATGAAAAATCGACGATTCCACGGTATGTAAGAACGAAAAAGAAATAACTTACCATTTCTGGAGAAAGACGACGGTTGTCCCACGACAAAGGCTAGGCCGAGGATCGACTGGCAGCATCCGTACCCGGAACCCCTCGGTTGAAATAGAAGAAAACAACGATCCTGTTTTTCTCCTGTGTCCCCCCGATTGTCACTAGGCCGGCACGAACAATAAATTAATTGCGCCCTGTGCGATTCTTGGGTTAGCTTTCGGTGGTCGCGTGCTTGCCTGCATGGGGTCGTTCATGAAGAGAGGCACGTGCCTTTTTATAATCGCCGTCAGACTCTGGTTCTCGCTCCGCCATTAGAGCGACGTACGAAAAGACAGGTTTCACGGGACGAGTCACTAATTTTTCTATCGTTCAATGAAATCGCACTGGGATTCTGTGTAATTTAAAAGTCGACTCCGGTACTGTGAGAACTGCGGCTCTAACTTTCGGACGATCCGTGGGTTTTTAGGTAGAAATGGGATCTTTGCGAACAATGATCGTTCGTTTTGTATTAAGAAAAAATTCTGGGGCCAAGTGTAAATATTCATGATTTTAGTACTGTAAGTTATATTCTCTTTTTCCACCCCTTTGCACCACTTTCCATCCCAAAACGATAAAACAGAAATCTGAAAATTCCGCTAAAATTGACAAAACTCGAAACAAAGCGTAGAACGTTAACTCTCCTCTCTTCGTTTCAACCCTTTCCATCGAAATGCACGTGTTCAACTTTAACACTCGTACACAAACAGATCTCAATACGGTACGAATTGCAGACACGACGATCGATAGATCACCGACAAATTATAAAAAAAGAAAGGAGTAATTCGGTCACGGAAAGGGTTAAACCCATCGTTGCACGGAAACAATCGAGCGAACCGAACAGTTGGAACAGCGATTGCTGGCATTTACACGGTTCTGGTTTGACGTGCGTGGACAGGTCTATGAATATACATGAACGATGAGGTTGGTGTAACGAGGACACAGTGGCTAAGGGTGTTCACGTTCACGAGGGCCGCTATTATCGAGCGTGTGTGACTGGAACGGCGATCACAACGGGCGGAGGGCTAGCCGCGTGCGCCTCGTTAAATTCTTCGGCCAGCGAATCTGACGCAGCCACGATTCTGTGAAATTGCGCGATCGCCCGTCGCGGGATGCGTCGCTCGCCGCTCTCGCCTGGCCTACGATTAAGCCGAACCAACCCTAAGAGGAAAACGAAGGAGCTTTAATTTGACGCGAATCGAAACGCGTGGTCGATTTCGCTGGGAAGATCAATTGGAACTTCCTGTTTGATGTGCGAGGAAGTCTTTGAAGTTTAAGGGCACATTTGGAACTCTACTTTTCTGGAAATGTAATTTGTGGAAGGAAAGATCGTGGGTGGTTACCTGTTAATTGGGGAGGACGAGTTATCTCGTCGTTGGATTGATCTGTAATTAGGAGATGATTGTTTATTTATTTTCTTAATTAGCTGTGCTTTTGTAAGAACGAGAACGAAGCAGCTATTTAGTCATATTTTTTGGAAATTTCTAAACGTAGAGTGAAGGGACTCGATTTCCGTTCCAGAAATGAATCTGGGGCTACAGGTTAATCAGCGGTGAAGGAAATTGATAGAATTATCCGAGAATACTCTTGGATACTTATCCATTTGTTCGCAATGTTGCAGCTTCGTTTAACCAGTTTCCAAGATAGAAGTAAAGGATTCGACTTGATTTACGATCGTTATTTAAAAGAAGACAGAAGTCTCGTGAAAAATTGATCAGGTGTTCGGACAAAGAGAAAATATAGATAGAGTCTTCTTTTCGTCAAGTTTGGGCGAGGATGGTAGACGCTCCTTGAACGTGTGCATCATCAAAATCATGTCGTTAGAAACTTCA